ATCCACACACAGTCAAACTGAGAGCGTGTGTGTGTGTGTGTGTGTGTGTGTGTGTGTGTGTGTGTGTGTGTGTGTGTGAGAGCTGAAAGTGTTTGCAGGTCAGTTTCTGCAGGGATTTGTCATCGTGACCTGGTTCTGTGTCTCAAGTAGACACACACACACACACACACACACACACACACACACAGCCGTTCTTGTTCCACCTTCCATTCATTAGAACAGCTGGACCAGAACCAGAACCAGAACCAGAACCGTCTTGTACTGAACCCAAACCTTCGTCAACGACTTCAATCAATCGTCAATAAATGAATTCAGGTGAAAATCTTTGAACCCACGGCAGGAACTGAGGCTTCAGCCAAAAAGTCCAGAAGCTAAAAGAATGTTCTGTTGTTAGCAGTTAGCATCAAGCTGCTAACACTTAGCCAAAGATGAGGAGATCTTTGACCAGGTCTGCACAAAGAACCAGAAAGAGTTACAGGTACATGACATCACACACACACTCACACACTCACACACACACACTCACGGCTCTACTGTGCTGCAAAAGCCTCCTCTAGGGGGCGTGGTCTCTCTTAGGAGTGAAGGAAACATAAATATCAGGAAATGAATTTAGGAAGATCAAGACAGGAGGAGAAGGAGAAGAAGGAGGAGGAGGAGGTGAAGGGTGGGGGGGCAGTGTGTCAGCCAATCACAGCTGGGAACAGCAGGCAGGGGGCGGGGTTTACCTGCCGCTGGTCACTGGAGAAACAAACTCTACAGGAGTGTAATGAGAAAATAAGTATTCAGTCCTGAGTTCATGAATAACAATCAGAGCCACACACACACACACACACACACACACACACACAGAGCTGTGTTCAAGTGTTGGTGACGCCTTTCTAATCACACGGCGTCAGCTGATGATTGACGCATGAAACACAAACGGTTTTTTTCCAGAAATGACAGAAATTGAAGGAAGAAAAAAAAAACTAAATTAAAACTGAGGAAAAAAAAACATTGAAGGGAAGAAAAAATCATAGATCGAATATCTGTAAAAAACAAACAAAAAAAAAAAAAAAACCTAAAGACCACAGCTAAAACACTAAGGACCACAAACTACATCAAAACAATATCAACTGTTTTTTTTAATGACAAACCATGTATAAACACAAATATCCAAATGGTTTAACTTTAGTCACATTAGGTTTGCATTTTACACTTTAGCTTGCATGGCGTTTCCACAACAAGCTCTGTGCCCAACTGAAAGAAAACCAAAGCAGCCAACAGCTAACAGCTAACAGGCTTCAGCTCAGGCCTGTAGGAGCACCACTTCTATCAGAACACCACTTACTAGCTGGACCAGGCCACCTCTTCAACATGAGGCACCGAGTAGCCTACCTCTCTAGATGAAAGCATTTCATTTGCAACGTGTCTGTGAGCTGAAATGAAATGAATTTCTCCATGAACTTCTGAATGAGTGTTCGTACATGTGTGTTCCTAACAGCAGGGGGCAGAGCTGAGGTTGGTGTCGGCCGAGAGGAAGAGACGCAAAAAGTCAATGTCACAATAAGAGTCAGAAAATCCTCCTCCTCCTGCTCCGCATGACTCCTGTTCAGACGCTGGCGTTCATTTCCAACATGGCCGCCGCCGCCGCCGCCGCCACCGTTCTGCTTCATAATCACATTTCCTTCCATTGACCGACTTTTTTTCCCTCATATTTTCGCTGCCATTGTGTCAGGAGTTTTAATCCTGTGATGTGGACACACACGTGCATCAGTCACACACACACACACACACACACACACACACACACACACAGTGATGGAGCTGTCCTCCCAGAGCCGGTGCAGTAATAAAGTCTGTAATAACCGTCGTGTTCCACTTCACTGCTCCTGGTTAAAGCCTGAGCTCCGACGGCAAAACAATCGCTTTTCTTTGTCGAAGCCTGAACCGCGACAACAACTTTAGAAACAACGCACGTTTCAGGAGTCGCCCAGAGACGGACAAGGACCGGGCTCGGCCTCGGAGCTCGGAATGATTAAAGGTCGGTTCAAAAGGTCGAGGAAAAACAATGGGTTCTGTTAAAAAAAAAAGGAACGCAAAATAAATTCACCTCAGATGGAAGTCAGGAGAAAAAAAAGAAATGGATTTTTAAATTAGAGTTCAATAATGAACAGATGCTAACAAGTAAATGCTAACATCTGAGTGTTAGCCAAAATAAATGGAGATTACGAAAGCTAACGAAAAAAGAACGAACCCGTTAGCTTCGTGAATCATTTGTCACTTTAATGTTGAACACATGGTTTTGTTTATTTTTATTTCTTTTTTTTTTTCTAATTTCTAACAAAAATGTGTTTATATTTCATCCAACATCAAAACTTTAAATTTTCCAGTTTTGGTTTTGAAAAACAAACTCTGACTAAATATTGACTTTTCATTTGAAAAAAAAAAAAAAGTTTTGGTGTGAACCAGTTTATTTGGTGGAGATACACACACACACACACACACACACCAGTGAACATTAAACTGGTGCAGCCGACAACTGACCGTCTGTTCTGTTTTATCTCTTTAGACAAAAAGAAACCAAAATATTTACTTCTACTTTTGTATTTCTCTTATTTAAATTAAATCATCATAAAAACCTCGTTCTGCTCCAATCACAGCCACAGACGTCACAGACGTCACAGACCCCGGGTCTAAACACAGGCTCAGTTCTGACAAACATCTAACGCTAAAGGTTAGCCACAAACGAACAAACTGAGGTTAATTCAACGACGACAGAGAAAAATGTGTTTCAACATGACGCAGAGTAAAACGACACACGTTTAAGAACGAGTTCAGCCTCAAGAAGAAAAACGATTAAAAAAGAATAAGCTCCGAAAAAAAGGCTAGGAGTAAAAAAAAAAAAAAAAAAAAAAAACAGCTGAGGGCTAACGTAGACATGACTGAAGCCAAAGACAAACTCAAACTCTGCTCCTCCTCAGTCTGAACGTCAGCTCTAATCGAACCAAAAAACAATGGATACTTTATATCAAAGATGAAGAAGAAGAAGTGATAAAAACAGCCTCGTGGTTCGCCATCGGCCGGAGGAGGAACACGAAAAACGTCACTTTTAAGAAAAAAAAAGAAAAAGAAAAAAAAGAAGATTCACTGCTAAAATGTTTAGTTTGCCAGAAAGACAAAGATGAACTGATAGTTTTACTGTTAGTGCAACAACTAACAGAGTGTCAAAAAAAACAGAAACAGAAACAAAAGTCCATTAAAAAGACTCTAAATGTTAAAAACGATGAAATGAAACGAGACCAAACTTTGACAGAAATGTTGTTGTTGTTTTATATATATTTAAGAACGAGTGAATGTTTTTACTCAGATCAGGGTTCGACGGTTTACTTTTAAACCGATTGAATGACTTATAAATAATGGAGAGTCACGAAGCTAACAGTTAGTTTCACCGACAGTCACTTCGGAACAAACGCACCGCGACAACAACGGGAAATTTGTACAAAAATCCACTCCAACCGTCAACGGTGTTGGTTTAAATCCGGTAAAAAATCAAATAAAAAGTGTTAGTTTTGTAATAAAGTGTTGTTTTTGTGTGGGTGTGGAGGCGGACAGCGGCGGAGCGGCTCCGCTCACCGAGCCTCTCACCTCAAATGACCCGGCGCTGCTAACTGTTAGCCCCGGTTGAACTCACGCACCGCCGCGGTGAACGCGGACGCAGCGCCGGACACAGGGCGGCGGAGACGGTGGGATGTTAGACTGTGAGGGGTAGACGTGGAGGAGAGGGCGATGGGGGAGGTGCAGGGGGAGAGTGGGGTTGAAGGGAGGCAGTCAGTCACAACAAACGCCCCCACGGTGAAGCGCATCTCCCTGCGGGACATCACCGCGGAACCGCCGTGTCTGGAGGCCGCTGAATGTCCGTCATTAGCGGCTCTGGCTAACAGGCTAACAGGCTGCAGCTTCGCGCTCTCACCGGGGGTGGAGGAGGTGGCGGTGGAGGTAGAGGAGGGCGGTGAAAAGTTCCCCACAAAAATTTTAAAAATATCTAAAAGCCACAGAGTGAAGCCGACTCCCTGTTGACAAGTGTCCCGAACAAAGTTCCCCCCACAGCCCCCTGTTTTGGCGGCTCTTTCCCCGGGGCAGCGTGTGCTGATGGAGGCGGGGACCGGAGCGCTGTTAGCAGCGGCGGGGGGGGGCGGGCGCGGCCGCGGCAACCGGGACACACGCACTCACACAGCCCGGTCCCAAACAGACGCATCTGCCGCCACAACAACTTCACTTCTCTCCCACATTTCAAACCCAAACCCCCTCCCTCTCTCCCTCTCCCCCCGGAGTCTTACCTGTGCGGGGCTTCGACTGCTGCTGCTGCGTGAAGTTTTTTTTTTATTATTCCCGGGACTCCGGCAGCGGCAGAGCGGCGCGGCAGCGGCAGAGCGGGAGCGGGGCGCAGAGACGCAGCAGCGGCGGCGGCAGCGGCAGCGGCGGAGCTGGGTCGAACACCGACAGCAGCATAGCTCAACCTAAAGACACGAGTGGGAAACAGCGCACGGCTGCTCGCTGCTCATAGGGGGGATCGACGACGAAAACCACATGATCTTTTACGTCAGCTGCATTTGCATAGGATGCCAAATTTATGTTTGGACTCCAGGTGACGTGGAAATGTACAGGCGAGTTTTGGCGCGCGTGCGTGTGTGCGTGCGTGCGTGTGTGTGTGTGTTACCTGTAGAGACACCAACACACTCGGACTCAGCAGTAAAAAAATGCCTGTGTGTGATTTACGACACCGTTAAAGGGGGAGTTTGGTTTTTTTATTATTATTTATTTTATTTTATTTTTTTATCATAGTTGGAGCTGCAGATCAGAACAGTTTCACTGACGTCCACATCACCACCACCAGGTGGAGCCGGTCAGTGCGACGCTACACTGCACACCTGCCCACAGGGGGCTCACGTTTAGGGTCTTGATGCCGGGACGGCAGCTCTCAACGGCGCCAGCTGTTGGTGAGCGGTGGCTCCGCAGATGACCTGACAAAGAGTTAAGGTCAACATTAACACACGACCTCTGACCCCTGTGTCTTACATTTTTATCCGTGTGTGACGTCACGTCTTCCGCTCATGCTCAGGTCACGTCAGGGCCGTAGACGGGTCGCAGTCGGACGGACGTCAAACACCGATATGATGATGTCACAAATATGGTCTCGGAAAAAAGACGTCGGCATTGGACGCCCCCTGCTGGTACGTCTTAGTGGAACCCTGACAGGCAGCAGAGAGCGAGACATAGCCAGGTGAGTAAATGATAGCATAAATGTATCCTAGCGCCATCTAGCGCCATCTGTGGCGCGTCTTACTTTCAAACATCAAACGGAGCCAAAGTCCATTGAGAAAAGCATCAGTTTTAGCTGCCAGTGCTGCGCTGCCTCGTGTGGTCACTTTGTGCGTCACTGACACAAAGCACAACAAAGAGCTTCAAACACCAGATTGACAAAACAACACAACTGAGTGACGGAGACAATGGTGGGGGCGTGGGCTGGGTTTAGACCGTGGTTTACGAACTCCAGTTTCCTGTCAACAGAACATGGCTGAGGTCCCGAATGACCACAGTCGCGGTGAAATTACCAGCTGTTTTTCACAACACACTTTTGTGATCATTCGTATTTCACTCCTGAAATGAACAAGTCTCCGTTTCTGGAGTCGAAAAAGTCGAAAAAGTCGAAAACGTCAACGTTGACAAAATCATGAAAATGTCTTGAAGAAAAATGACTGACGTTTCTGCTGTTGTGTGTGTGTGTGTGTGAATCCTTACTACAATCGGAATGCAATAGTGAGAATATCAACTTGTCAGAGACTGACACCTACAGGAGGTAAACGGAGCTACACCTCTCTTCTGTATTCTCCTACATCACATTCATTTTGAAGTCATTTCCAGAGCAGTTTTTGTTGATGCTGCGGTGACCTCTCACCTGATGCTGCGGTGACCTCTCACCTGATGCTGCGGTGACCTCTCACCTGATGCTGCGGTGACCTCTCACCTGATGCTGCGGGGGA